GACGAGCAAAATTATCATCGTCAATTTATTCGCACTAGCTTAACATAACAAAATAATAAAGATGATTCAAGAGCACACCGTAAAGTTTGTTTTACGGTCTTTGATTGTTGGCTTAGTTAGTGCTATGTAAGCCATGAATGATTTGTAAATTATTAATTGCTTGGCATTAGACCAGATCCATAATAAATTGATTGCCAATAGGTCATAGATGGACCTATAGGTCATAACAGACATGCCAGTTTTTCAATTTTTTATGAGCCGTTTTTGCTTAACAACAATTTTCACATCAATATCCGGAAAATTTTTAACAATTTTGAGATCAAGTTATATCAAATATCACCTCAAATTAAACAATTTCAGTTTGAAACAAAAAAAAATAACCCAATTTTCAATGAATAATTCAAAATCACACATCAATTCCTTTTTTAAGTAATCAAGCTTGAGAATTTGTACACAATTTTCAAAAACACAAATTTTCGTATCATACAATTTCATCAGTACAGAAAGTTTTGTGAAATCTCTAGAGTATAAATTTTCTCATTCATGAAAATCATATGGCAGCTTTTTTCCATAATTGAAAATTGTATGATTAGAAATTTTCCTTTTTTTTAAATTTATATGACAATCTTTTATTTAATGAGGCAAAAGTTAAATTACAGCCCATCCCATAAGACCTAAAATCTTTGAACAGTGAAGAAAATTGGGAAACAAAATAGTATTCTGAGGTTGGAACCTCAAGTAGTTCTTGATAAACTGCAGCAAACCTTTTCATTTTTTGATAGCAACAATGATGTAAACGTTGTCCTATAGGGATCAACACTGGGGAGATGGGGTTCCCTCACTTGGAAAAAAACTGGAAACCAGCTGTTCGACCCAAAATCCAGAAAAAGAGGAGAACCTTCCAGTGAGCTGAAGCCGGTTCCTTCACCTGTATCCGGTACTGGTATCTGTACCCATCCAAAATAATAGCTACAACAAAATATATTACTTATGCAAGAAAATAATAACCTGAAAACACATGCTTAAAATTAAACTACTTAAATATGGCAACTTCGACCCAACGCTCGGGAAACTACTTTTGACTTCATGATGAGACTTTCATATGAGACGCTTCTGGTAATTGGTCCACCAGCTGGTTGGCGTGAGAAGCACTTATGGACATGAGCTGTAGAAGGCAAAATAATTCCTTCCATCAGTGCTTGTCACGCCAACCAGCTGGTGAAATAATTGCCAGAAGCGTCTCAGATGGAAGTCTCAAAATTATGTTAGAATAGAAACCATTTCTAACCACTCAGAACAACCGAGATAGTAAATTTAATGCTCAAGGACGGCCGGTTAGCACAGAAGTTAAAATAACGTAAAAAATCAATTTTTTTTTATCAAACTCTGCTTTTACACTGACAGTTTTGCACAACTATCTTACTTGAGCTTTTAAAAGATTTCAATTCGTTTTATTTGTTTATATTGACTTGAAAAAACTATGATACACTTCTGAAATCTTAAAAATTTGGGTGACTCTGAACTTGCAGTACGAGATCGGGCCAGATTAAGCACGAGCCAGTTGTTCCGTAACACGCAAACGTTTATTTTTTGAGAGATATTTTGTACTTAAAAGGATGAAATAATTTTTCCCGTAGCCAAGTTCAGCAAATCTGAAAGAAAAAAGTTGTTGGCCTTCACCGTTTCACGTACCGGCCGATACATTTAACTTTTTGAAAACGCGAAAACAATCACTTTTTAATAAGCTAGATTTCAAATTCCTGTCTGATAAAAACAGGTTTTACGAAAATGTATGAAATCGGGTCTTTTAAATTTTGTTATTATTATTTTTTGAGACGCTTTGGAAAATTTTTTCACATTTTTCAAAAATTTAATTTTTCTCAAGACCTTTTCTCTACCGATTTTCAAAAAAAATAGTACGAGTGAGAAGTCCCCCCCACTCCCCTGTGTGCCTGCATAATCCCTAGTCTCTTTTTGCCTTACCGCACTTTCTTCAGACTTCGAAAAATTGTGTGAAGGGACTTTTCACCCATATGTTTGGTTTTTTCTACATTTTCTAGAAAACTGCCCTCACAAATCTGGGTTCAATGGATCGAAAATCTGACTTGTGAAAAAATTTTCGAGTTCCCCAGGAGCTCCCCACAACTTGACTTGTGAAATAAAATTGGCGCAACCGCTTATGCAGGGGAGCTCCCCAAAACCCGTCCTTTCGATTAAAACTAAAATCTCAGATTTGGGAGGCTAGTTTTCGAGAAAAGTCAAGTTTGGAACAATCAAGAAAATGACTTTTTGAGAGCCATGACTTTTTTCTATAGAGCACGTTTTAGTAAGCTCCCGTGCATTAGCGGCTACGCCCAATTTATTTTACACAAAAAGTTATGGCTCTCAAAAAACGTCAATTTTTAGATTTTTTGTTCCTTAATGAAATTTTTGGACAAGTCTCGAAAACTACCTTCCCAAATCGGAGATTGTAGCTTCAATCAAAATCAAAAAGATAGACTGCGGGGAGCTCCCCTGCCGAAGCGGTTACGCCAAATTTTTTACACAAAAAGTTATGACACTCGAAAAAGTCAAATTTAAAATTTTTTGACCGCTTTTTGAAACTTTTTTACTTTTCTCGAAAACTTCCAAATCTAAGCTTCTTGTTTCAATGAGTAGAGCGGGTTGTGGGAAGCTCCGCTGCATAACTGATAATGCCTAATTTTTTGTACACAAAAAGTTATGACCCTCCGACAAGTCAAATTTTCAATGTTTTTTTGACTTTTCTCGAAAAATACCCCCCTCCCCCAAATCTGAGATTTTAGTTTCAATTTAAAGGACGTCTCGTGAGTAACTCTCTTGCAGAAGCGGTTACGCTCAATATATTTGACTATAAATGTTATATCAAATAATTCTGCCATAAAATTCAGAAAAAAATTTTCAAAAGTTTTTTGATTTTAATTGTTGTTGTTGTTTATTCATTTTTCATGACAATTAGTGTCAATAACAGCTAATTTTTTAACTCTCTACGCGTAAGATTTGTTATCCTATCGCAAATTGCAAAAAAAAAATATTTTCAACTGCAAAAAAAATATGACTGGTTAAAATATATTGCTGGAACAGCTCTTTAGGTGGCTGATTTCGATCATAAGCGTAAAATTACTCATTAATTAATAGCCATTTTTGACATGGGACATTTGCTCTGTTAGTTTTTCAGACAATCAAGTTATGTTGTTTCTTTCAGTTTCAAAATTACTATCGTACATACGACAAATCTTAAAAACCATTTTTTGCTGATGATATTTTGTTTATTTTGATTTTGACTGAAACTCTGTCGGCTTAGTATTTTCAAGACTAGTTTTAAAACTGAAATTTCGGCTGTCAGTTATTGAACTCAAATTTCATTTTTTGCTTCTTTTGCTCAATTACGTAATTTTTTTTATTGGGTCTTATAATAAATTTTGCTTTCCAAAAAGTAATATGGTATGTGTTTGCAAAAATTGTATGTTTTTTGTGCGTTTTACCTTTGCAATAAGCAAGGGTATACTAACCGGGAACTAACTTTGTTCACAGAATAATCAATTTAGAAGGAATGGTAAGTTTACATTTGTATCACTTACATTCGTTTATGTAGCGCCTATTTTGGATGCGTTATGATTTTGATGCTGGTTGTAATTTTTTTCCGAAAGCGTTTCGGATGGTTTTCAGTTTTTTTGTGTTGGCTCTAATTTGTTGAATTATAAAACTAGTGAATTTTTTTTTTCATTTCTGGTCTTACTTCTGAGGATTTTGCTCAGGAAATTCGTTATGATCTTCCCCGGAAAAAATAAAAACCACCTTACCTTTTTCACAACAATAATTTTGCTCGAACCTTTACTCGATTTCTTTCGAGTGGCATTTTCTATGTGTTTGTGCTGCAGGAGGTTGAAATCGCAGTTTTGCTATAAACATTTTTTTCGTATTTCTATGCTTCCGGTTTGCAATCGGAACACTGACATTTTCATGATAGCTTGTTGAAGACAATAGGTTGGATTGCAATAACTTAGGGTTTCTTTGCTTCTCCGGTACAGTTGTTCTAGAAATAGCAACCCACATAGCTGTCCAGAATAACTATGATCGAGTTTAGCCAGGATCTGTTTTTTTTTCTTCAAATTCTAAGGATTCCGTTTAAACAAAATGTTGGCTATTTGTTTGTCCGCTTATTTGTTTTCTGCTTAGTTGCTGGGTCAGTTTTTTTTTAGCAATTTTCATTCTCCTACCAATGAATCTGTTTGCAAAAAGAAGAGTTTCTTAGCAAGATAGTTCAGCAATAAATTCTGAATAACAGACACCTGCTCCCGCGATTGTGAACAATTTTTCAAGCTTTTAGATCGTGATTAGAATTGCACAAACAAATCGTAACTTTTTTTAATAAATAAAAATTCCACTCTGAACCCATGATTATGCCAATTGACAGTTGTAAAAGAGTATTGAACGCAAGGAGTATTTATGAGTATTTACTCATAAAAGGCAGTATTCTCATAAAAGGCAGTACATAAAAGGAGTAGTTAATTATTTGAATTCTCGATTCCTTGAATTTGTAAAACAATTTATGATGGACACTTTTTTTGTTAAAAATAACCCAATTTGAGAAAAATGGATCAATAGGCAAACTTTTGTTTCGCTGGGAAATCTGACAATTAATTTCCGTTTTCGAAATCAGAAGTTGATCACGTTTTTTGTGACCTTTACACTTTTGCTGTTCGATAGTCGAGTTTGCTTTCCTTTTAACAATGGAAATGCTCTGAACTTATAAAGAAATCACAGGTAAACCGCAAAAAATCAAAATTGAGCGTGAACAAATTTCAAGATTTTTTCCTGAAAAAAAAAATCACCAAGACCTATATAAGAGCATCACTACGTTCATTGTTTTCAAGAACACAAGAAAATGAAAATATATTTTTTTGCAATTACAGCTGTCTTCCGAACAATCTTTGCTACTTGCACAGCAGCCCTCTTGCTCACTAACGAGAAAAAACACGATTTTGATACATTCAATATAGCTGTTTTTCAAACACAGAAGCCGTATTATCATTATTTATTACAATTAAACTAGATTTCTATATTAGCACCATTGCTAAATAAAATGAAAAAGTGAAAATAGAAAACAATAGACACTCTCGGGCATTGCAAATTTGCCCTAAAATTAAAACAATTATTTCAGTTAAACACATTTGATTCGATAGATAAAGAGCCAGGGCTTTATAGGTGCCAAATAATAAGGTTTGCACAAGGAATTCGAAACATCGAAACTTAATTGGAGCTCATCTTTATATACTTTGAAATCGGTGTGAAAAAAATGTACAAACATCGAGTTAAGTTCTTTTAAACTGCAGCGGTATTGAAGAGAAGTAGAATGCACAATTGCATTTGGGACACTATTGTTGGAACAGTCATTACAGCAGAAAGAATTCCGAGAAAAAGAGACATTAAATACTGAGATCTATTCTAACTAGCTCCTACGACACACTAGCCAAATTGATCATGCCACACAACATTACTAGATATCAATTAAACGATAAAATTCAAATGGTAAACTTCACATTGCGAAGTACAAAAAGAATATATAGAACTTTGATATAAAATAGAGAAATTATGAAAGGTTATTAAAGTGACCTCGGGTCAATTTACAGTATTTAAGGCAGTAAAATATAAAAGGAGTGAAGAAAATACTGAGAGCAAAATATGAACGGTTGCATAAAGAGTTGTATTGAGTTTATGTTACAGATTCATTTTGTTTTGTATTGTTTGAACCACTCGCGGTTGCTTATTTTAGCTTTGCTCCATTGGCATCGAGTGCTCGTGCATTCTTTCATCCGCTGCTGTCGTGGCTGAGTTGTTTCTGCAAAAATAGGGTATTTTCAAACATCTTCGAGAAAACTCGGACAATTTGAAGTCCCCTTCATTCCCTTAAGTACTTGGTAACGAACACCCAACCCTGTCAAGCATTAATCCAACGGTTAAACAGAAACCATTATTGAACCAATAACTAACTTAGGATCAACCCCCCACTAAATAATCAACCGTAGATTTACCTTCCCAAGCACGTATTAACTATGAAAAATTAATCTGTACACAGGCGACGCGGAGCTTCGCAACACTTGCAATAGAACCAAAACAATGCGTTACAAGAAAGTGAATAGAAAATACGGAAGTCGGATTTTTTTGATAAATTAACTTAAAACACTCGTTTGTTTGAAAAAACTCTATTACTGAGCGGCAACTTAGGCAAAATATGCTGATTGACCTTCTGTTCATCCGATTAACTGCTGTCACATTAAATTTTCAGATTAAAAGTTTATAAAATTTGAAAATTGGTCGTTATCCCATCTATTTGTGATTTCTGCTGAAAAATGGTATAAGTCGCTCATGTATGGGGAAATCCTACTTTCCGTTCTTTTAATAGAACTCAATATCAGATTCGGCAGGGTAATTTTCAAGAGGTAACTTTTCCTTAATTAATACCTTTTTTTCGACCAAAAATAGTGCAACCGTTTATGTATGGAAGAAAAAAATTTCCAAAAAACGATCAGTCTGAAAAATTATGTCGAAAATTGTTTTTAAGTCATTACACTTTGTCTAGCTGTTTCTGCAGGGAAGTTTCCCACAGGCTGTGGTTTCAATTGATTCCATAACCACGGAGTTACTCATACAAGGAAGATTCCATATCAAATTTTTTCGATTGAACTCCAAATCTCAGATTTGGCAAAGTAGTTTTTGAGAAAAAGAAATCCGCAAAATTGCAAAACGGTGTAAATTTCCTAAAAACAACAGACTTTTCCTAAGAACAAACAATTTTAAAACAAAAATTAGGGAGTCGCAGCTTCTGCGTGATAATTCTCGCCACCTTTTTCTTCGAGGGAGTCCTTCATCTCACTTTTTGAATCAATAAGTTTCCAGAAAAGCGGTCCCAAAAAGGGTTTTCGTACATAAATATGGGCGTAGCAACTTATCCAGTATAATATTCCGAAAACTGTTATTTCAATCAACCATTAATACTGAAATTGGCAGAGCAGTTTTTCAGAAAAGTCAAGATCCCAAAAACGGTCGAAGTTTCAAAAATTTTCCAGTGCAATTAGTTTTTCTTACGAAATAGGGCAAACTTACTATGCAGGGACGGTTGCTAAAACCGAAACTTAGTTTTCGATAAAATTAACAAAATTTCCAAAAACCGATCAAAAACTCCAATAAATTTGACAATTCTGAAAATCATAACTTACTTTCTTCAAAAATTGGGGCGTAACCGCTCACGCCGGGAGGATTCCTACAACCGATTGAAAGCTCAAATCTACATACGAGAGGGCAGTTTCTGAGAAAAAAGGGAAGTTTCAAAAAAAAAATTGCGAAAATGTCAAAAGCTGCCTTTTTTGAGGCCTCAACTTTTTTCTTTTTAAATTAGGACGTAGCAACTTCGCCACTACCTGTTCTTTACCATGAACATGTAGCTGTTTTATAGATCCCGCTACCTCTTTTTTCCATTGAAACCTTAATTTCAGATGTGGCGCGGTAGTCAGTGAGAAAAAAAAATCCAAGAAAATCAGTCAGGCATTCCAAGTTGAAATTTTCGAACGCCTTTGAAGATGGAGTGAGGAAAAAAGAGACAATGAAAAAACGCATACAAAAAACGTGGAAGCCGGTCTTTTCGTTCATGCAAATTTTGTAAAATCAAATTAGTTGTCGAGATAATCTAAAATTTCAGCAAAAAGTAAAAAATATTTTCCATAGTGTCTTAAAAAAATTACATGAAAACGAATCCCATACCATACATAAACGAATTCGCTAATTTATTGTGTAGTCACTAAGGGAGAGGGATTTGCAAGACTGGGAAAACTACCAAATTATTATTCTTATTTCAGCTAGGAAAGAGTTTGCTAGACGGAAATTCAACTGTATTCTGTTGTTTTCTCATGAAAACACCACTCGATAGGCAGCTAACTGGCCGTTTTGAAGTTCTTCCAAAATGGGATTTTCTTTGCTATGAGTTCTGTAAATAATAATCGAGTCTGTTCCCTTCTTGAAAACGAATTAATTATAACTATTATACGCAAAACTGTATTTTTAGCAACTGATAAATAGCCTCAGGATATACGTTTTTGATTACGGCGTTTATGAATAAATCAGAAAAATTTCAAAAAATTTTTTTACCACGCTCCTTCGAAATGACCTGAGGCAGGTAAAATTTAGCTCAAAGGGTGTGCTAGAATTTAGTTCACAAATTTTATTTTAAAACAAAGCCAACAGACAGTTGGAACAGAATCAATGAACGCAATTAAACAGAAAAAAAATACCGATGTTTTTTTGAAAAAATGTCAACTTTCGAATTTCAAAGAAAAAAGCCTCCATTTTTCAGAAAAGCGTTTCAATGGAAGCCCGTTCTTCTAAATAGAAAGTATCTCACCGATTACTGGTTTGGTTGATTGGTGATTTTGATTGCTGCATTTGAGCAGGGGCGGTGATGGTGGGAGTTGCGTTGAACAATTGCTGTGATGTAGTAGTTGGGTTCTGCTGCTGATGCTTACTACTGCTGGATTGTGATTGGCTAAGAGAGTCGGCTTGTGATTGGCTGATATGGAGTTGGTTGCGGGCAAAATGGACTAAATGTTGCGGCCATGGCCTCGGGGGAGGGCAGTGCCTCTAAACTAGTCTTCTTCACAAGAGGGGGGTGCAACAATCTCTGCATGAACGAACTCTGTTGGTCACTGTAGCTACTGCCTATGCGCGCAAAAAACAATGTTAAGTGAAACTTAAAGTGATAGTTTTCTTATTTTCAAACTTTTCTTGTGTGAAATCTTGTTGGGATAATCAATTGGTCACACCTTTCGTGGAAGAACGTACTTCAAAACCAATTTGAAGTCACTAATTTAAACCTCTCAGAAATATGAACTTTCGATCTCCAATTGAAATATAGCCAATTTCCAATGAGTAATTCAATTTAAAATAACCAATTAATGAATGTGGATTAACCAGTCGACTCCAGACAAAATTGAACCAAAAATAATCAGACTATAAGACACAGCCGACAGTTACACAACTTTGATTGATATTTCAACGATTTCCGTGACTGTTAACTTAATTATCACAAAAGTGCTCAGTATTTTTGGCTGGCTGATAAGTCGGCTGGTTTATATACTTCCAAATATCTGACCTATTACGTCGCCAGCTGCAAACCCCTCCCCTGAATGTTCACGCGTGGAACTGGTAGTGGGCGAAGAGATTGTGGATGCCCTTAACAGCTGGTACATGCATGCCACGACACAGTCAGTCAGGGAGTTCAGATCGAATCCGTCTTCGAGACATAGCAACACTTTCCCGTTCGACACGCTCAGCACCTGTTTCGTCATCCAGCCGAAACCTACAGCATCGGAAAAAAAAACAAGTTCATCGTTATACACCAGAAAAGATTTTTTCGAGCAATAGCCCCCCCCCCCCCCTATTCCAAACACCAGGTTGGTGCGATGTATTTTTATGCTTCTAGTCTTGGGGCATTATTCGAAAGAGCTTTGATAAACTTCAATTCAGACCTTCTGGAGTATAAAAATCGACCGAGGGTGCATAGAAGAAAAATGCCAAAACAACGTGAAAATCAACATGACATCAGCTATTACTGTTATACCTTCGTCTCGGATTCAGAAAAAAGCCAGTGTATAAAGCGAAAACACTTTAATTATTTATGTTGAGAAAAAAAATTAAGTATATATAATAATTAAAATTAATGGCAGAGTTAAAATTTACAAACAATCCAAATATCAAGGCGTTTCAATAAGTTGACAAATTGGTAACTTGGTGACTCACGTTTGAGTTGCATGCAAGATCTGTATTTTCAAATAAATTTTGGTCCAGTTATGGAAAGTTTGTATATAAAAGATTGACATCGCATCGCCTTCGGTTAGTTTTCCTGTATCTTTTAACTGCGTTTAATTGATATTCAGTTTGATCCGTAAGTTCTGAAAAATCATATTTTCCAAAGCCGGCAATCTTCCGTCTACAAGAACCGAAAATACTTCGGCTTTCTCTACCGACTTTAGTTTTAAAAAAATGAAATGTGTGTGTGTGTGGGGGGGGGGGGGACTGAAAAAGAGCCGCTTTGCTTGTGCAAAAAGATTATTTTTGATATTGAGAAAAAAACATGCATGAGTTTCATAGCCTAAGTTGAGCTTGTGCAAGATATTGGCCAAGATATCAAACTATAAATGGAAACACCGTCAGATCTGGTGTAACGATACATTGCATTCCGGTAAAATAAACCACATGGGACGCAATTACCCCACTTAGCTGCTAATACGCAAAAATACATAGTTAAAATCTCTTATTTGGTTGGGCATCCTCCAATAAAAAGTGCTAACTGAATCAATAAGGCCATACTGGCAAGTAATTTCTAACAAACATCTGCATTTTCTAGCCTTAATTTTATTGGGGGAGGGGATGAGGAAGTTTGTACGGTGTTCCATTGTGTTTTAAGCTATGAGTTCAGAACGAAATTGACTCGATGCTCGAATAACAAAACAAAAGAAAAACGAGTATTAAATCAAATCAAGTATTGGGATCTCACATTCTGGAGTTATTATGTATCCGCCTAGCTTGCGCGAGTGACCTCTGGAAGCGTCGAAGCCGGCCGAGACCAGAACGATGTCCGGGTCAAAGTGCTGACATAAGGGTACGACTACTGCTCTAAATGCTGCCATGTAATCCTCATCGGCCATCGGGACGTCCGGATGACTTGAGAACCCAACGTTGACTGTCTTCCCGAGTGCCTCCTTGGTTCCGGCGGATGTTGGGGATCCAGTTCCCGGAAAGAAAGATCCGTTGTCGAATCTGTGTACTGAGATGTAGAGTACATTGGGATCACTTTCGAAAACTTTCTCCGTGCCGATCCCGTGGTGAATATCCTATAACACTCAAAAAGTTCGTTGAGAGTGCTTCCCATTTTTGAAGCTATGCTCCCAGGAAAAACAGTTTGCACTAGTTTTCTTTAAAATGTGATGAAAACTTTGATTGTGAAATTAATGTTTCTCGAACTGTATTTTTGATTCGTTATCATCCACATACCGCAACTTATTAAAAACGTACATTGCTTACTTTAAATAGGCATTGCTTAAAAGTAACAAGTTCTTCAATTAAAAAAAAATAGTTCGACAACAGGGGCGGATCTAGGATTTTCTCTAGGGAGTGGGCGGATTTTCAAAAATTTTTTGAAATTTTGTCGACCTTTTTTTAGGTGTCGACCAAATTGGTTTTCCGAGCTCTCCCAAGCAGCAAGCATCACTAAAAAGTCCCTGTTTTGGCCAACATTTCTGCGCCGCAGGCAAAATTTTGAAAAACAGTCCAAAAAGGCGTTTTTAGGCACTTTTTGGAAAAATTTTACCAAAAAATCACGTTTTTTTTCGGCGCGCGCTCCCCCCTTTAAAGAAGTATATATTGCCGCCGAAGGCACCTTTAGAAAAACTTTAGGGTCCTTCATCCAAAATTGGATATCTCAAAATAGTTCAAAGGGGGGACCCTTTGGGTCGGCAGGGGGTCGAATCCGTGGGGGGGGGGGGGGGGGGGCGTTTGCCTTCCCCCTAAATCCGCCCCTGTTCGGCAAGATGGTTTCGAAAACTTATTTGCATATAGTATTGGCTGCTGACATTTACGCTATATATGTCTATAGATGGGCAAAATTGCTCTGATGACAATCATAACTGCACAGAAAAGCACAGTTAAAAGAAAATGGCGTAAAGTTAGATAAAAACTTTTTGCGAAAAGAAGAAAATACTTCGGAACAATTAGTTCCCTCTGCTTTAATTCATCAAAATTGAAAGCGGAGGACAAGCAAACATAGCATACACATTGCAAACATAGCCAACAGACAGTTGGAAAGCTTAAAACAACAAGGACTTAAAAACAACAAAAACAGCAAAAAAATCCAACTTGAGCGTGTTGAAATTTTCTTACATTTTCCTTAAAAAATACTAGCGTGTAACGCAACCTCCGGTGCTGCTAAAAGCAATTGAGCAGTAGCATTTGGACGCAAGATTTGCAACTCCTGAGAGTTCTCTGACAGCCCCCAACTACAGGGTTCGGAAATTCAAATTTTGAGAAACTTCACCTTAAGTTTTCTAATCTCGAAAACGACCAATATTTGAGCAGTCTTTTTTGATGGCAATATTCGCAATCTTTGAAAGCAGACAACTACAGGGTTGGGAATTTCACTTAAACGAATCACAAAAAATATCACATCTGGAAAACTAAAAATATTTGAGCAGTAATTTTTGGAGGAAAGATTGGCAACTCCTGATAGTGCTCTAACAGTTCCATACTAAACGGTTGGAATTTCAAACGCTTTGAAAAAATCAGAAAAAATGTTCTATCTCGAAAACTTCAAGGATTTGAGCAGTCATATTTGAAGGCTAAATTCACAACTCCTGGGAGTAACCTAACAGAGCCTCACTATAGATATGGAAAATTCAAGCTTTGTGAAATTTTTTATACCTAAGTTTTCTGAAAATTTTTGAAAACATCCTAAAAAAACGTCATATCTCGAAAACTCCAAGAATTTGAGCAGCCATATTCAGAGGCTAGATTCGAAAACCCCTGAGAGTTCCCCCACATATTCCAATAACAGGATTGATATCTTCAAAGTTTTGGATCTTTTTAACATCTAAGTTTTTTTTTGAAAATTTCGGAGAAAATCATAAAAAACGTCATATCTCGAAAACTATAAGGATTTGAGCAGTTATATTGAACGGCAAAATTCGGAAATCATGTGAGTACCCTGACAGACTCTCATAACAGAGATAATAATTTCAAATTTTGCGAAATTTTTCATACCTAAGTTTTCTGAAAAATTTTGAAAAAAAAAATCCTTAAAAAACGTCATATCTCGAAAACTACAAGAATTTGAGCAGCCATATTCAGAGGCAAGATTCGCAACCACCTGAGAGTGCCCTCACAGATTCCAATTAGAGGATTGAGATCTTCAAAATTTTGGAACTTTTGAATATTTAGGTTTTTTTGAAAACTCGCAACTCCTGAGAGTACCCTGACTGAGCCTCACTGCAGATATAGTAATTTCAAGTTTTGTGAATTTTTTAAAATCTAAGTTTTTGAAAATTTTTGAAAAAATCATAAAAAACGTCATATCTCGAAAACTACAAGGATTTGAGAAGTGAGAATTGGAGGCAAGATTCGCAACCCCTGAGAATACCCTGACAGCACCCAACAACAGGGTGAGAATTTCAAAAAAAGAGAAATTAATATTTCTAGAAATTTTTTAAAAATCTCGAAAATTGCCCATCTCGTAAACTAAAAGGATTTGGTTATTCATATATGGAGGCCAGAATCGCAAAACCTGGGAAAACTCTTACGATTTCCTACTACTGGTATGCTAATTTCAAATTTGATGAAATAAACACTATATCTAAACAGGAAAATCGAAAAAAACCTTAACCATTGCAATATACGACATAGCTTAAACGTGAAAAAATTCTTTTGTTAAACATGCAAAAATAATACGTTGAAAAAGCTGAAACAAGGCGATATATTGAAGACCGCATTTAAATATATAACAGAAGGGATGAAAGTTAAAAAATTAGGCGACGGGTAGACAGACAATCAAATTAATTAAAAAAGCAGGTATACAGACAGACAGACTTAATTTGGCCTCGAAAAAATACTAAAAAATTAATGACCTTGCGGAAAACTACTTGAAAAATTTTCTTAAGCATTGCAATATATGATATAGCTTAAACATGAAAAAATTCTTTCGTTAAACATGCAAAATTATTATGCTTTAACATGGGAGATAGCTGTCACTCGCATTTAAATATAATATAGATATAGAAGAAATATAGATATAGATATATAGATATATAGATATAGATATATAGATATATAGATATAGATATATAGATAGATAGATCACGATCCTATTAGAGGTGCAAAATTTAAATCCCTACATTTTCGTAATACCGCTTTAATCAAAACGAAACTAGCCACAAAAAACCAAACACAAAAATAAAATATTGCTACAAAGTGAAAGTTAAACATATAAACGACTTTTATAGCAATATACGACTTTTATTTTCCGTTGACAATCTCGCAACACGTTTAAGTGACTAAGGCGCCAATTTGTTGATTATCTTGTTCAAATAAGGCATAAATCCCGGCCTACCTGATTTTTAAAACAATTATCACTGAGGAATTTTTTTGGGACTGTACTGTACCGGGTTGTTTCTGGTTCACTTTCATAGTTTTCTGGACTGTTTTGTATAGGACTGTGTAGTAAAAACACAGAATGAAATTTCTGAAAAAGTAAAGAACGCTTCAATTTTTAAAACAAAGGCGAAGCTGAGCTTCGCAAAACTTGCGATACAACAAGTATAGGACTAAAACAGCAAGACCTCCAGAAACTATCAAAAAAGACTTCGAACGTAGCAATCGTTGAAGAAACGACTAGAATACCAAAAAGCGTGAAACTTCGGGTTTCGTTGAGGTTCTGAAAAAAAATTGGAATAAAAATTGTTGATTGCTACAAGGATTACTTGTGCGAAAAGTAGGACACCAAATTAGGGTAATAGTTTGTTTGTTGGTATTGGGTAATAGTTTGTACGTTTTCACGCTTTCTTTTCCAAAGGACCACGTTTTTTTTTAATGTTTAAATACATTATATAGTTTCAAGTGGCATTGAATTTGAGCATTTAAAATTTCAAACTTGGGGAGAAGGACTTTAAGATCTCATAAACAATATCGGAAGTTTTCAGGAAACAAAATATTAGATAAATAGGAAACAGAATTAGAGCCGAAAGCCAATTAGCTGAAAACTTACCAAAATTTTTTCGGCAAAACCGTATCCACGTGAGCCATATAAAACTATTTTACACAATTCGCAGACTAAAACGAGATATTAACCGAAAGCCGAAAAATCATAATATCGATGTTAAAGCGTAATATCGATGTTTTATCACTATGCAAACAACTAGAGCTATCAAATTAAATGAAGATATTTTCAGATAAAACAAGCCCAGACAAAAGAAGCCAAATTAGCATCGAAACAAAACTTACTAAGCGAAAACAAAACATAAAACACCTCAGCAGAAACCCTTCATGCCGAATAAAAATTCTAAATAAAAAAGAAATATTTGAGTCTCCTTTCCCCTCAAAACACATACGTACACAAAAATGTTTTCGGTCACCAAACGACACAAACAGAGGCGGCTAAAAAAACCGAAACTGATTTACCCAAAAAAAGACAAAACAATTGAAAAAATAACGCAATTTTAACAAATCGAATTGGTAAAATAACAACCAAGGTAAAAAGATTCGATTCAACCAGATTTTTGAAATGCTGAAACACTTACAGCAATAACAGTGGAAATCGTTTACAGCAAAAACAAACAATTCTTAGATCCAGAAACTAAGCAGACAAAACATAGGCAGATAAATAATAGGCCGAAAATTTTTTGAACCGGAATATTATACTTTGCTTCTTCAATGACGAAACCCTTTAAAATATGAAGTTTGATATTATTCGCCGGTGATCAGTGACAATTTAAAAAATTTGCATATTTCTGCCGCTTTTATATTCGGCCAATATTAATATCAAGTCCCTGGGAATATTTACTTTCTTTGAGATTTTTATGCTATCTTTCCAATTTTTAGAATACTGAAACCTGATTGGCTGATTTTTTCGGATATCAGCGAATCCACACAGTCAATACACTTATCCGCCAACACCTTGAACCGTTGGCCAACAAATAATCGATGCGGAAAACAGTATGCATCGATTGTTTTCCGCATCGAATGTTTGTTGGTCAACGATGCAAGCGGAGGCGGAGCAATAAGCAATTTTTTACGAGGAGAACGGGTCCAAGAGCAGAAACACAAAAAAAAGGTTCACTTTTAGAGCCAAATCGAGAAGAAAGTATTAGAATATATATATTTTAAATTCAATTACAAAGCTTAATGAAATTACTCAGTAATGCATAACTTATTCAGTTCCTGGGTATTATTGACATTTCCAACATTTGTTCTGATCGATTAGCCCTTTAAAATCAATATTTGTCAGTTTTCTGCTCTTAGACCCTTTCTGCTCATTGACCACCGATCAAGCACACAACCAGCAACACAAAATCCGCGAAATAACAAACAACCCTCCACTAAAAGAGTAGTTTAGCAGCATAATACTGCGCATGGGTTAAAAGAAGCTCACAAAATTTAGTCCAATTTTCTGGACTAATTGATGCGCGGTTTTAACAATTTATCTTCTTAAGTTGAAAGCGCAAGCGCGAACTATTTAAGCGTGCAGAATTATACCGCTCTCAAAATTGTTCGAAAATGATTTGAGGCGACATATTTTCTTATACAACTCAAAAGAAAATGTAAACAACCGAAAAAAAATTGTTGAAGATCGAAAATCAATTTTCGAAGAAACAAATATGTTTCAATTTCAAGACAATTTATGACTGACACTTTTTAATGAAATAAACACAAACTAAAAAAAAACGCTATCAATAAATAGCGTTTTATTTCGCCGGGAAATCTGGAAATATATCTAAGTGCATTCATCAAAACTTAGCCAACTGACAGTTGGAAAAGAGTAATGAACGCAAGGAAACTGAAAAAAATCGTTTTTTTTTTTCAAAAATCTTCAATTTCTTAATTTCGAAGAAAAAAATACATGGCCTTAAAGCTCTTTGAATTAGTAGAACAATTTATGATGGACACTTTTTTGTTAAAAATAACCCAATTTGAGAACACTGGATCAATAGGTAAAACTTATATTTCGCTGGGAAATCTGATAATTAATTTCCATTTTCCAAATTAGAAGTCGATGACGTTTTTCGTGACCTTTATAAATTTGCTTTTCGATAGTGGAGTTTGACATCGTTTTAACAATTGAAATGCTCTAAACTTAAAAATAAATCACACGTCAAACCGCGAAAAATCAAAGTTGAGCCTGAACAAATTTAAAGACTTTTCCTGAAAAAAAAAATCACCAAGACCTAAATAAAAGAAAATCATTTCGTTTTTATAATCAAACACTTAATATTTTATATTGACTGTTCGGCGAAGAAAACAGTTCAATTTTTCTAGTGTATGGAATTTCCTTTGCCAAATTTTTAAATACCAATAAACGGGAAGTGTGAACACTCAGAGCTTTGCCTTGAACCGCAGTCTTATTTAATTCTATTTTTGTTTTTAAATCCCCATTCTCTCGTCACAGGAAGCTGAATTACTTAACAAAAATGATAAGCTGCTCGAAGTCCCACAATCAAGTTGTTATCATTGTTGCTACATGGACATTCTCAAAATTAAAATAATAATTCAATTTGAAGTGAATCAACTCACCCAATCAATTATTGCAATTTTTCGGGCCAGATTCTTTGCCAGCAAAGACTTGGCTGCGATGGCCACATTGTTGAAGAATGAAAAGCCACTGAAACAAAAACAAACAAATCCATCAAAAACAGCGTAATACACTACTTTTAGTTATCTTAAAAGTTCGTTGAATCTATTGCTGTTGCTAATAAAAACTTAATAGCCATTCGAATGCAAGTTAATCAAAACGACTGGCTTTTTTATGTTCCTCTCTCAGATAAAAAAAAATACTTTACGGTGTTGTTATTAATTCCACGAGGAGAATATGAGGAAAAATGTGAATTTAATTTAAAATTTATCTCACATCTATTTTCATGACAATTGGACCATGTGAACAAAAGTTAGGAAAAAAACATTTCCCAGAAACAGTTTTTTTTGGTACACTTCATACGAAAACTTCTACCTAACAAGCCCTTATACGAAATACGATTAAACGAGAAATCAGAATTACTAAAAAAAATATTGGTTTATACAAACTCGATGATTGGCTTTTTTGTGAAATTTACATTGTTTTATCCAACTCCATGTAGGGTTGATTTATATTAGAAGCGTTGTTTCCAGTCCAGCAATCTGAGATTTTCTGGCAAAAAAAAATATTGCTCTATTGCTGAGAATTGGTTAGGATTTTTATCACAAGTTACACGACTATACGTTCTTTATACTAAAGCCAGAATATACGTTATACGAGAGTTGGATAATTCTACGATAAACGGATTGTACGACTACAAAGTGCACGATTTTTTCATTACATGTCAATACACTGCCCAGAAGGGGGAGGGTAGAAGAGACCCCTCGCATTGAAATGCAGCTGGTCCACTTACAGCGGCTGACTATTTTCAGCATGATGTCCAGGTGGTCTGACAAGTGCGAATGCATTACTCAGTTCATTCCTCGCCACCTTCTCCGCCAGCTCCAGCACCACCCCCACCGCACCTACACAGGCCCCCGGGGAACAGTGCGAGTTCCACACTAGGTCCATGTCCACTCCCTTGCCCCCGCAGGAGAGTGCGGACAGCTGCGAGTTCAGTTCTTCTGCCAACTCTTGATCGGAACCAGAGAACGCTTGTACGTACTTCGAGCTAAAAGCATATAAGTACGTACAAAAAAGCAATTTGTTTAATCTATCGGAGCTTAAGGCTCATTAAAAAACCAAACCATCAGACAATTTGAAAAGTATCAATGAACGCGAAAAAAAAATGCCCGATTTTTGGAAAAAAGTTTTAGGGACTTAAAGGTCTTTGAATTTTAAGAACAGTTTATGATAGACAATTTTTGATGAAATTAATCCAATTTAAGAAAACTTCATCAATGGGTAAGTTTTTTCATTCCGCTGGGAAATCATTGAAATCCACTTTCGAGACGAGTTCGTCCAAGTTTTTTTGCGCCGTTTTGACTTTTTTAATTGGAGAGCGCAATTAGCTTTCCTTCGAGCAAATGAATTTATATTGAACTGAAAAAGAAATCAGATGTCAAACCACCGCAAGGTTAACTTCGTCAAAATCTAATTATAAGACTTTTCCTGAAGAAAAAAATACAAAAAAATCAACACGATTTGCATAAGTGTTTTCACTACCTTCATCGACTTTTGATAAAAACTACCGTGTGTACATCATTACGTAATCATCATCAACAACAAAAAAGTACTACTGCATGTCCACACAATCTATGTTTTGATTGAACTAATGCTGCGATTGAGATCGGGAGTGGAGTAGTATCATTACCGCAATAAATCTCATCCAAACTAACTTGTGAACTTGCTCCAGCTCCTGAATCTGAACTTCTCGTCCCAGAGATACCTGAAAACGCAGTCAAACACTTACTCAATAAGAATAAAAAAAGACCACGTAAGCTCTATTAGTTTTCATTTCAATCTATTGTCTCCAAGTTTTTTTTAATCGGTTATGTAATACCTTGCAGTGCTTTGGGATATCCAGGTCTAGCAGTTTAATCCAGACGTACTGCACTCTGAGTGGACTCTCAATATGGGCATCTGCATTGGCGCAGCTGCATTGGTGTTTCAACACAACTGGGTTATAGCCCAAACCTTAAAAGAAACAACAGTATTTTTTTGGTTCCAACAACAGTTCGGCAGAATGTCCTGACCAGATTATTCGTAGCATCAAGCTACAAAATAAAAAAAACTGATTTTTCTCAATTTTCTTTTTAAAGTTTTGATTCAAATTGGGCTTCAGTATTTAGATAAATTTGACTGAACTAAGTCAAAAACAATATTACAAAAAAATTCCGCACTCGCGCCTGGATACAGATATTTTTTGGAAACCAAATCACATTTGAAACAGCTTTAATATGATCATGATGATCATGAGCCGCAATTGTTTCATAATCTACGATAGCAACAACGAAGTCGTCGAAAAAACCTCTTGATGAATCCGCTTAAAGTTTGAAGCTAATCGATTTTCAAGCATAGCCAACAGACTGTAAATTCAAATTTAAAAAAAATGTATGATTGACACTGTTTGATAAAATCAACCCAACTGAATAATGAATGATTGACACTGTTTCATAAACTTTGACCTGCATAGGAGGTTTGTGGAACCTGATCTAAACTATATTTTATGATTGGATAAATTAAATGTTTTACCAATGTAAAGTATTTAATATTAACCAATCATGATCCATCTAACTAACAACCCACTTATTTGTAAGTGCTGAAGTTACTTGTAATTTCAGCACCAGAGAGATTTGAATTTAACTTAGAAATTAGTTGGACTCTCCCGAGCACTTCAGCAGCCGCAATAAACCAGTATACCCTAGATCTATTGAGCCTAGCAGAGACTAGTTAAACAACCTGAGACTAGATAGTATAAGAGTAAGATTAGGATCGGTATTAGACTAAGAAGTTGCACGAATCTATCCGGCCGAAAATAAGATAGCGTGACGAGCAGACGGTGTACCCTATCCGAAATTACTCTATGAGTTATACACCCCAGACATAACTCATCTGGTGCGACCATAAGTCTCGAACAAGACCTTACTAGATTAGAATTAACCAAAATTAGATTAGAAATTAGACAAAAACATTTACAAAATGTTATACGACAATAATTTAATTGAAATGTCTCTCCGACTCAATAGATCAGAGCCAATATTCCGAACCATAATAGAACTACCCGGAATTGGAAGAAGACATCGAACCAAAGACGACATACGACAAAGTAGAAACTTGCCGTATAGTTATATGATAGTTCGGCAAAAGCCAGAACAAACTTTTATATTTCGAATACTACTTGCAATGAATTTAGATTTCCATTTGCAAACATAAAACCTTGAAGTAAATCTTCAAAATCATTTCAGGCGCTAAACAAATTAATATTATACAATAACGATTGATAAAAAGATCTAAGATCGTTTTCCTAAAATTCTGCAGTATTATACAAAACATGTTTGAAGAATATTTATTGGAAAATAAAAATAAAAATTAGTAGCATGACAATAAATGGTTAGTAATCATAAATCATCCTGTTGTTCCAGCTTCATCACCTAAAACATAACAGCAATCATAAACCCACTAATATCATCAAAACACTAAATCTTTCCTTTACACAAATTTAAAACTTTATTAAAATTTAAAGTCACTTAATTTAAAATCAGATCATCAAGGCTTATCCTTGGATCTTAAATCATTTTCTACTTAATTAAATTTTAAATTTGATCATCAAGGCTTATCCTTGGATCAAACAGAACAACTTTGTTCTCCCCCACCCACTTAATTAGTGTCTAACGACCTCAAACGTCGATTCACTACCCAACCCTTTCTAAAAACCCAAGACTAATAGAAATTTTTAAACAAAACTAATCATTCAAATTAGGATAAACAGTGAAGAACTTCGGTTATTCATCTTTCACTTGACCCCTCCTCTTACCAGACCCAGGATAAATCTTAGACTTAGTAAGTTTAAAATAGTATCTAACGAACTACTCGCGTTCTAATTATACCTGAACCTTGTGGATCGATTTACTATTCTCCAACCCTTGAACACAATCACTACCCCTAAGTAAGATTAAGTAAGTTAACACCTTAGCTTATACTAGTCACGAGAAAGTAAAAATCATTCTTCGGAATCGATATACTTTTCTCTCCAACCCTGAACAACTACACCCAGGTTAAGCTAACCAAAAAATCGTAAGAACTAACAGTTTAAGTCAATAGAAATCATTTAACAACCTTTTGCATCCGTCATTCTAAACCTTATGTCATTTAAAAACCTAGGAAATAAACAAACAATCATTTTACACAATTGTGAAATAGATAACAAAAAATACGACCTTGTAATCACACCTCATACACAAACAATTGGATACATTCGAACAAAACGACAAACACTAAAGAGAAAAATAATAACTAAACAAAGACAAATAACACGAAAAAGATTTTCAAAAAATCGAAACGCATTTTCAGAATCAGAAACCAACAGTTTAGACGAACTTTACAAACTAAAAGAATCAATAGATAAAAATTGCCCACAACACGATCAATTATATTTTTCTGACTCAGAAACAACTTCAAATTCATCACAAAGAGGAAAAAGAAGAATAAAAAAGCAGTATAAACACAAACCAGTACATCTATACAATTGGAATCAACCAATTCGACACATTAATAATTACATATTAACAGTCATCGAACGAAAAAATGAGTTCAACGCACACCCCAGGTGACGAAACTCCAGATGATGATGAAATCTTTCCTTTTATAGTAGATGCAGATACTGATAGAGGACAACACATATTTTGTCAAAATTTACTCGTAAATTTATTTGAACCCGGAATCAGTCCATGTAAAACAGAGTTCCCCGATGTAAAAATCAAAAGACAAATCATAGATCACTATCTAAAAGATATATGCAACATAACACAACAGTATGGAATCTACTCTATAGAATTCACTTCCCCAAACCATAATAATAGAACATATACTATTCAAACAGACGACCTTGATTTAGAATTTTCAAAAGTTTTTTCAGAATATATAAAAAGCATCCAATACCATAACTCACAAAGAGCAAACTCCATTTTCACCAATGAAGTTTTCGCACTAATATATAGTTATATTTCGATATTAGAAAATGAACTCCCATTAACAAATGTCTCACCGACAGAAACATCTAAACATTTAAGAGTACGACATGAAATCACACTACTCTCTAGTTATTTAAACATCATTAAAGAAAATTTCACGAAAGACGACGTTTCACAACATACCAAACACGATTTACAAAAAATTTTAGCATGGTTCATAATAGATTATTTTACACACAATATTGATTTAATTGCACAAGCAAGAAAAAATTTTAGACCCCAAAATTCGAACGATGATACCGCTATCACAGAACAATCAGATTATGTTTGGGACCCCGAATGGTCTCATTCCGCATTTATAAACTTTCCACAATCAATCTCAAGTCAAGCAATAGGTACAATATCTTACATAAGAGATTATGTAAGAGTAATACCATTAACAATTGATGCAACACCATTAAACTATAATACATTTTTACCCGATACACAAAATAATAGTTTAAACTCTACAGCCATACACAATGAAAACCTCAATGGAACTAGGAATCTTACTCAACAAGATATCCAGACACCATCACACTTCATAAATGAAGAAATTGTACACACAACAACTACACAACAAAGTATTTCACCAATACGCCCAAATTTAACAACACCAAGAAATACAAATCCTTCACAAACACAGGTAACCTTACAATCAACCGTTAAACCTTCGGTTGCCCCTAAATATTCACATATGGATTACCAAACATACAAACCCATGACAATACCATCAAAAACACGCAAAACATTCACTAGAAACAACTTTGCAGACCATAATTATAATTATACACATCCATCAAAAACAAATTATCAACCACAAAGAAATTTTAATCAATATACAAAACCTCGAAACTGGGATAACCCAACGGCCCAATATAATTCCACAAATTTTCAACCAAATCCTCCACAGGATCGCAGTGGAAATTACCCATTTTTTCAACAAAATAAAAATAAAAAACAAACATCTTATCAAATGGATTATTTATCCTCAGATGAAGATTTCTTACAACCAGATATATTTGCACCAAATACTCAAGAATATCGTAGACAAGGAATACAGAAAACACGTACAAATCATAGAAATTTTTCTCCACAATCAATAGATGCACAATATCAACAACCAATTCAACAACAAAATCCAATTAATACACAATCTTTTCAACCAATTCAACAACAAAATCCAATGACTACACACTCGTATCAACCATCACAAATGCAAAATGAAATACCACTCCCGTATTATCTTCAACAACATGAAATAACAAGAAACCAACTTTCAAATTTTTCTCAAATGCCAAATGCAGCTGAATCATTACAAATGACAATGAATCCATACCTTATGGGTGGATCATCAATAACATCAAATAAACCTTTAATGGTTTTCACAGGAACAGACCCTGAATACTCTGTAGAAGATTATTTAAACGCAGTAACAGCAAATTTAATTTTAAATATAGGACCTGAACCAATTAATACGCCACTACATCAAAACTGGATACATCGACGCACAGCGTTGATACAAACAACCTTAGATGGCGCAGCCCAAAAATGGTTTTCAGTACTACCTCAAGAAATAAAATCAAACTGGAAAAGATTTACACAAGAATTTTCAAAAATGTTTGACTCCGAAAGAAACAAACAACAACAAAGAGTTTTATGTAATGAAATTCGCAGATTACCAAACGAAACCATCAAGCAAATAGCAGTAAGAATCGAAACACTAGTTCGAAAAGCATATTCACTAAATACACACGACTATAAAAACACTAAGATGACAGAAATCTTAATGATGACCTTAACACCACAATTAAGGAAAATAGCAATAAAAAAGAGAGCATCCCATCCTTCTTCAATTCGAGAACCCGATTTAGATTTTAGAAAACTAGTAGACAAACTAGAACAAGCAGAAATCACGATGAAACTAGAAGAAACGGAGAATTTGAAATTACAATACGTTAACAA